CGAATGTAGTTTCAGGTTACAATTTGAAATCATTCTAGAAAGAAAAGAAGGTTAATTTAGGTTTATTTCGATTGTTTTTGGTGGTTACAAGGTTGGTCAAATTGACCAATTCTGTTTTGAAATAGGGTAGAAAAAAAACAAATAAACAATAAGGATTTAGTGGAAAAAACGTTTGAAATGCATTTAGGATGTTTTAGGGATTACACAAAGGAAATTTGAGATTTTTGAAATTACGAAAAGTATTTTTAATTTTAACATGAAAATTACTTTGCACACGGACTATTCAAAACAAATACTCAATATATTCATGGACAAAACTTTATTTTATTTTATTAGAAATACTTCGCTAAGAAATATGACTTTTTGTATGTGAAAGACTTGTAATATTAACTAAAAAACTGCAAATTTCATGAAGATATACTCAATATATAAAGAGTTATAAGTATTAAATTCATATCAACTTTAAACGAGTACAAAAGGTCACGTGACTCGGTCAAACTGACCGACCCCATGTCGGCAGAGTTAATCCTAATTTTCAATGATAATGTAATTTAAATTTAATTATTTTTTGATTCCCACTTTCATAGCTTGAATAATTTTGGTTTCACAATTCACTGCCTCATATCTCACAAACAGTTAGGCATATGAAGGTGAGATTGCACAGGGGTGTTAAGGTTATGTTATCATATGGATGTGAATGCCACACTTCTTACATTACAGATGATCCATCACAGCAACTGTTTAAAATATACTCCTCCAGCATTTAGAAAGCACTGCATCCACGTGACAAAGGACATTACAGCAACAATGCCTCTCTCACCTGGATTCTGGCCTCCTTTTGAACAGTTGCACCTTTGGGGTCTGGAATTGTGCAAGGGCTTCCTACGATACACGTATAACTTCAGGTATCCTCACAACCAAAAATAAGCTGGTATTAGATCCAGTGAAAGAAGTAGCAATTCATAAGGAAAGTGATGTGAAATGATTTTGTCCTGAATATGATCCCGCAATACTGGTTTTATCTGGTTATTAATCTTATTGATATGCAGAGAAGCATGAAAATTGTACTGTATAAGCAAATGTATCTATACCCAGTGAATGGAAAAGTTTAAGTTAATCTATCAATTTAAATTATTTCATGGACTTTGAAAAGATTAAATGTGTTGCACTCTTGGTTTCACTCGGAGCCAAAGCTCTGAGCTACTTATACTGCACACAGCAAAAAGTAATTGTTGAGAATTTCAGTCATGCTAAGAGCCATTTATCAATAATATACAGTAAATCTACATTTTTTTTCTTTAATTTGTCACAATTTCAAACACAGGGTAGACCATTCTGCTTGCAGAATAAAATTTTGCATCAACATTATTAATGCCTGTTCTCCCATCATTTCAAAAACAAATAGTGAGCTTTGCCTGCCTGCACAGCTTCTCAAATGGGAGAGCAAAAAATGAGTAGACAGGCACCATGGTTTGCAATATATATTCCATTTGGCAGGCCATTAATCATCAACTTTTAGTCTTGCCAAGAATTGCAACACAAAAGCAACATATCAGATTAAATCCATCTCTTTAAGTAATTAATAATGATGCAGTTTCCAAAGAAACATTTGCAATATTGACTGAAGAGCCTTATAAACTGTTTAAATTGGCAAATCCAGACACCAGATGACATAAAGTACACTGCTTCACCCATGTGCACTTGTGCTGATTTGTTCTGCTTTGACATGACTGACACCAGCAATAGTTTCTGTAGGTGTCAGAGAGTAAACAAAAGATACAGTCAATACTGCAATTAACCTTACAAATCCCTACTGGAGCTTCCTATAAAAATGAGTAATTTCACCAAATTTTCTTGCTCAACTCTTTTTAATGAATGCTGTAACAAGCCAAAACATAAAATTACTCAAAATGTTGCAATAGGTAGACCCGTCAGTGGTAAAATGTTCATAAATAAGATTATAAATTGTGATTTAATCAGACTTGTGTAAGTGTTGGGCAGTGGGAATTTTGTGTATGAGCAAAACCATTTGACCATTTTATTTTCTGAGATAACCACCAAGTTTTATTTTTAAACATATCTATTAATTATTGGTTATCAAGGACACAGAGAGAGAGAGGTAAATACATGAACTTCATCAAATTAAACAAAAAAATTTGAACTTCCTTTAAGACTAAATGATTTGAATTAGAATGAAATGATGAAAAAAAAAGAGTTACAGTAAAGAACAACAGTCTAACTCTAAGCATAAGTTTTGTTTTCTATTCATTCAAAAAATGAAGTTGAAAAAACCAGACACCTCATATATTAACATTGCAATTTGCTGACACTTTCAATATATACACACACACACATATATGCCAGTAGTTAACTTTTTTAAATATTTCACTAAAAAGATATATAGTTTTCATTATAATTATGATAATTCTTAATTTGGTAGTGGCTGTCAAAAAAAATAAATAAATGATGAAAAGACAATTCTAATAAAGCTAGGTTCTCTTCATCAAATACTAGAATAAATCCAACCAATTATTATAAGCTTACACTGTAAACTAATAATAGTGATACTTGTTTTTTTGAGCAAAGCGACATTGGGCTATCTGCTGTGTCCACCATGAGAAATTGAACCCCTAAGGGGACCATATTTGGAAAAGTAAAGAAACTTCAAAAAGTCAAAATAGGTTGAAAGAGACTTTCAAAGTTAGTGTTAAATGTAAATGACTCTCGCAAAAATAATCAAAATAGGTTGAAAGAGACTTTCAATGTTAGAATTAAATGCAAATGACTAGCAAAAATAATCTATTTTTAGGACTTGATACAAACACATGTATCTATACATTTTCTATTTAAAACAAACGGCTTTAAATATCAAAACATAAAAAAGCATAAATTTAAAGATTAAAAATTGTTCCACTTTCCACTGTCTTAGGAAAATTTTGCAAAATTAAGTTGCCATATTTAAATGGCATAGCAAAAATTTCACAGTTTTTTTGTACATAAGCTTAAAAACATCCTGAACACTATGCATCTAAGAATACATCTAACAGTTATTATTAGAGAGTCCCAGAGAATTGTATTGTCCCCAGCCATGGAAATGTGTGAATGAGAAATCACAGTTGTGAATATATAAATCTCACATAAGTAAAATACTTATTATTGTACACCATACAACAAACAGAAAATGTGTGCAGCACTAATACATGCTGAATTTGCATGATTTATTTCAAGGCAACTGTACTCTGACTAGTTGGAAAACAGTTTTCAAAAACATCACAAGGATTGCTAAAGCCCTTGTCCACCATTTGTCAGCAACCAGCGAGTGAATGTTAAAACCAAAACCAGGGTGTCAGGTCAAATTGGCTGGATCAATAAGGATCAGTGATAATCAAACAATATCTGTCTTCAAGTTCTACTTTTGTCTGGCCAATTTCATTGGATTCAGAAGCATTTACTATTTGAACACGCACATTTTATGAGTACCTCCTATTTCCATGTTGTCATACTGGTAGAACTAAAAGAAACTTGTATAATCATGAAGTTAATGAACTTTGTGCAATTAAAGGTAATATGAACATTGTTATTTCTAGAGCAGATAAAGATGAACAGATTCTCATACTAGATAAAAGTGTTTATAATGATAACATTAAAAAACTTTTAAATGATGGTTCTTGTATTGAAATCAAGAAAAACTCTACGAATGTAATACATAATAAAGTCAAAACATAAAAACCTGCAGCATTTTAACAGCTAACAAACAAAGAAATCTTGTATTGTCTCAGTTTAATTTACCTTGGTTTTATGCACTCCCTAACGTACATAAAATCAGGGTACCGTTCCACCCTATTGTTGATAACAGAGGGTCATCAACACATTTGGTGGCTAAGTTTATTGTTAAAAAATGTTTGTTTTTAACAAATTTGCATACATACACAATTAAAAATTCATCAGAATTTGTAAAAAAGGTTAAGAGTATGCACATAGTAAAAATTGATAGTTTATTTCGATATAGTAGTATTATCTACAAATGTACCTATAGAAGAAGTATGAAGTTGTTTTGAAAATAGATTACTAGCTAGTCAGATTTTTTCACGGTTAGAAGTACATGATATTATAAATTTAACAAGGTTGTGTATAACTAATAGTTATTTTAAGGTAAGAAATAACAGTTACAAACAGAATAAAGGTTTGTCTATGGGGGTCCTCCTTATCACCTTTGTTAGCGGACATTTTCATGTTTGAGGTTGAAACTTGTGTGTTAAAAACAATGGTGATAAAAATCTAGATGTACGTAAGGTATATGGATGAGACGTTTCTGGTGTGCCAGCATGGTAATGACACACTGATTCCAGATGCATCTGAATTCAATCAGCTCTATTATACAATTCACTTCAGAAGTTCAAGATGAGGGTTGTTTAAACTTTTTAGATGTTTCTGTAAAAAGATAGAGAAGGCCATTCTCAGTGGCCATGCCACCTCATGTAAGATCGTGTCATCCATGGTCACAAAAAAATGTTCTCATTTTCGTCTTTTGTTTATAGGGCTATTTATGTTTCATCATATGATGAGGATTTGATGTTAGAATTAACGTATTTAAAACAGGTAGCAATTGACAGAGGGTATCAACCTAAAATCATAGACAGGATGTACAGTAAATATTGTAACAAACTTCAAATTTCTGGATGTACTAAATTGCAGATAACAAAAAATGGAGGTATAGAAAGAATATGTTTGCCCCATGTTTCACCATGGTCAATAAAAATAGGTAATGTGTTTAGACAAAACTTGAACTGCCAAGTAACATTTACTCATCAATCAAAATTAAATCACATAATTTATGGTTTGAAAGATAAAATTGAATTAAAGGATAAACGTGGCACATATATAAAATTTCATGTATTTGTGGTCTAAGTTATATTGGAGAGACAAGTAGGAACTTAAAATTTAGAGTAAA